ACAGACACACAGACACATGCATATATATATGCATGCTAAATGGAAAGTTGTAGGAAATTATTCTTTGTAAGCAACTTATCTTTTTGGTACAAATATTTCTTTAAAAGGAGAGGAAATACCAATGTGGCTTCTGAACAAAGAATCAAAAGTAGAAAAATTGGTTAAAATGTTTTAATTATGTGAGTTGTTTCAGGCCGTTAGAGATTTCTTTTAGTTCCATTTTTGGAAATTTTCCTTGACACTCCCTAAGTAACAACACTGTCTTTGATTTAGGAAACATCTCTAAAGCCCCACAGGGAAGAAGATTTGTTGAAGTGGAGGGAAGCATGCTGTTACCCAAGGATCCAAGCCTCCCGGGAAGATAACTTCCGTTCTTCTTGGTTCTTTTCAGACACTTGGACTGATCAGATCAAAGTCCGCCCCCTCCCCAACTTTTCTAAAGGCTAATTGCTCAAACACATCTTCTAAAATTATATACTATTCACTCATTTGTGGTATATTACATATTATTTGATTGCTATTTGATAAAAGAGATAAAATTAATATATTTTGCTATTTCAAATTATGACATTCTAACATGTGCTTTTGGAATCTCACATGCAAGCCACTAGGGTGAGTCATATACCATCTCTCTATCTCAATGAGAAGTACTTTCGCTCTGACCGACCTTCCCCTCTTTCTCTTATTATGTTCCTTCCTGCTATCAAGTCAGGCTCATGTCCAATGAGCCTCACACAGGGTCCAATGTTGAAAAAGACAAGCAAGTGAAATATAATATTTTGACTTAAAAATATTCATAAGTAAAGGGAATTGTCTCTTAAGCTACATATAAATTGTAAAAAAGAGTATAAACAGCTCCACGAGACATCTTAACAGAGAAAAAAATCTGTTGATACATTGAAAATAGGAAATACTATGATAGGTGCAATAAATCATGCTTATTCTCTCAACAATCCATCTCCGTTGTGCCACTACAGTGGCTTGTCAGTGAAATCTGGCTGTGGGACCCTCCACTTAGAAGTCTTCAGAGTTTATGCTGCTGCATGACTTGCCATGAGGCTTGCCAGGAGCCAACCTGCACTTGACTTAGTTCTGTGTCCCAGAACTGTCTGAGCTGTCTGCCTGTCACCCATTCCCAGAAACTCAGCACTTGTTCAACTTTTGTTCAGGCTGTTTTCTTGGGCCAGCAGTTCTGAGCTTGTATTCTTCTTCCCCTCTATTTACTTCACTGGAAAAACCTTCTCAACTTTTAAAAAATAGCTTTATTGAGGTATAATTGATAAACAAGCAGCTGTATATATTTAGTATGTCCAGTTTGATGAGTTTGGACAAATGCAAACACCCATGATACCATCACCATAGTTAAGCTGACATATCAATACCTCCCAGAGTTTACTTGTTACTCTTAGTTTTTCTGTTTGTTTGTTTCAGTGGTAAGAACACCTAACATGAGATCTATCCTCTTAACAAACTCTGAAGTATATAAGTATTACATGGTTAATGACTGGCACTATGTTGTACAGTAGAACTCTAAAATTTATTAATCTTACAGAAGTGACACTTTATACCCATTGAATAACAACTCTCCATTTCTCCCTTCCCCAGCCTCTGACAACCACTATTGTATTCCCTGCTTCTATGAGTTTGACTATTTTAGAAATCTTATAAAAGTGGATTCATGCTGTCTTTGTCCTTCTGTGACTGAATTATTTCGCTAATTATAATGTCTTCCAGGTTCATCCATGTTGTAGTAACTGGCAGGAATTCTTTCTTTTTTTTAAGGCTCAACCTTTATGCTTCAATTTTCAGTTCTTGAAGGAACCCCCTGCCCAACCAATATCTTTTCTAAATTGTCATCCTCTGTTCATATTTCTGTGAACTGAACTTGAATCCCTAGAGGACAAGGACAATATCTTGTTCATTTTAGCAAGCCCAGCTCCTAACAGAGTGTTAGGTACATAGCAGGCCTTAAATGTTTGTGAAACTGTTAAACAATGAGAATTAGAACAGTCTGATTGTTTGTATGAGCTCATTTTCCTAAAATATTAGTTAATATGATCTTGAAAGGACTAATTTCAAAGAACTCTGTTCATTTCTAACATTTGGGAAACAACAGACCTCTTGCTAAAGTACACTATGCTTAGAAAAATTAAACATGAAGGTAGCACAGAAAAAGGTGGAGAGCTGGTTATTTGACCTTCCTTCCCAACGCTACCCTTAGCTAATTCTTGTAACTACGTGTAGGTGCTGCACAGGGGTTTCACGTTAGTATGCACATCACCAGTTCAACCAAACATGCAACCCGCTTCAGAAAAATTCAAAAGCTGATGTAAACTGTACCCCAAGATAAAGCTTTTATAATACTTGCATTAAAGAAAAGATCTTTTAGTCAAGTAGAGGAGTTATTCCAGAATAAAAAAAGACAAGAGGTTTCTATAAACTATAATTCTGAAGCAGAAAATGAGCTGATGGTATTGTCTCATACTTTTTCTTTTAAATAAAAGCTGACCTATAATAAAAACCTTTTCTTTTTTGCTTAGATTTTTTCCCTTATTTCTTGTAGTCTAACAAATTGTTATCTTATTCTATTACAGAAGATAACAAACCATTTTTCTTTTTAATACTTTGGACTCAGGATTTAATGACCACTGTGTATGAGACCCATGGCTGAGTTTAAATTCTAAATCTAATACTGGAGATAAAATAAATGCCTCTCTCTCCAAACATTCTGGCAATAAACTGAAACCTATGAAACTGAATATTATAAATACTTTCATAGGGTTGTATATTTCTTAATCTTCTAAATTCTCCAGTCAACTCACTTGATCTATAGCTGAGAATTCATTCCAGGATGTGGTGTAATCCTTTTCTCTCCTAGACATTTGGCAAGCTTGGCATGAAGGCCTTCATCTTTCAAATTCCCCCTTTGAGACAACAATGATCCTGTCTTGAATGCAGCATCGTACATTTAGAAAACTACAGGAAGGTCTAATCTTGCCTGGTAGCATTCACGAGCTTTTCTTTTTTTGTAACAGAAGACAATTATTGAAAATCCTACAATGTGTTCTCTCTTTTGCCAGAAACCTTGAAATAGAAACCAACAAAGCCGATTCCTTTAAACACTGGATTCCAGGATGCCAGTGTATGCCTCTTCCCCCCGACATCCACTTGTTTTTATAATCAATCACTATCAATTGACACCAGTACGTTGCTGAAAGAACAATTCCTTGCATGGCTAAAGTGGATGAAAGGAAATCCATGACAGGACAGCAACCATTTTTGGCACGTGACCACACCCTATTAGATTCTTAAGGTTCTATGTCTGGGGTCCTCTGGTGGGGTTCAGTTCTTTTTAAAAAATTCCTTATTTTTTGGTCTTCATTTTCTCATCCACAATATATATTCATTTGTTTACTCATTCATTAAATAATTAATAACCACATGCTACATGCCAGAAACTGTGCTAGGCAATGGTTATAAAATAGAGGTTTTAAAAAATTCACAGGACAGTGGGCAGACAGATAAGGAAAATAACAGTTACAAAACAATGTGCTCTCTCCATAGGGGGTATAATATAGGATCGTGGAAGATGACACCACACATACTGTGAGCCCTTACAAAGGCTATGTAGGAGAACCGATGTGTGAGCTGAGTCATGAAGGAAGAGGGATGCTTATCTAGGCCTCTGGGAGAACATTTGCTAAGCATGGTATTTTTGAGATAGTGAAGGAAGATTATACTGCATATTGCAAAAGAAGGAAGGGCACAGAGAAGGAGAGGCAAAGATAGGTATAGGGCCAACCGGGAAGGGTCAAGAATGGCATATAGAAAATGTGGAATCCTTCTTGATAGAAAGAGAGTTATTAAACAGTTTTAAGCCAAAGAGTTGCATGATCAGAGTTATGATTTAGCAATATTACTCCACTTACAGGAAGCAGAGGCAACAGACAAGCTCTGAAATGTCTACAACAATACAGATATGAATTGACAAGGGCCTCAACACGATGAGGAAAGAGAGGAGGAGATAGTTTCATGAGCTACTGGGATGTAGAATTGACATAATTTAGGAGCTGTATGAATGTGGAGGATGAGGAAGAGAAAAAAATTCTAGAATGTTATTAGAGTTTAGTCTGGGGATGCTCCGTTTGTTATACATAGGAGACCTCCAAGAGGAGATGCTGAACAGGCAGTGAGCTGTACAAGTCTGGACCTCAGTAGGAATGTCTGTGTTGAAATAGAAGACTGGGAATCTTTAAGCAAGGCAACACATAGAGAGGGGAAGAGGGAATATTGTAATGAAGGAGCCAAAAAAGGATGGTCCCAGAGGTAGGAAGAAAAAAACAATCAATGTCACTAAACTAAGAGAAGAGAGTTTCAAGGAGACAGCAGGCCACAGTGTAAATTCCTGGACAGCACTGAAATAAGATGAAGCCTGAGAAGAGCCCTGGGAATCTCACACCTCAGAGATCATTGGTGACTAGAGAGAGTGCAGTGTCAGTGGGGTAGCTTGGACAAAAACCAGACCCACTAGGGTTAAAGAGTCAGCAGAACCACAAGAAATGGAATACTTTTTCTAGAAGCTTTGGGCAAGGGAAAAGAACAGCTAATTGTCTAGAAGATATCTATAGCTCTCTTTAGCAACAACATTCTTTGAAATTCTATCAAGAAAAGTGGGCATAGTTCCCCAGATATCTAACTCATTCATTACCTGCCTGGCTATTAAGAAATTGAGATGGAGTCAGGTGGGTTCAGAACAGGATTCATTTATTTGGAGTCTTGGCTTAGGGAACTCATGCAGGCAATAACGAAGATGTGGGTGAGGTGTGTGGACAGAGACCAACCTCCCTTATCTCTTGGTTTTTGTGGTGGTGGGAGGTATAGGCAGTAAAACCATCTTAAACAGTAGAGAGATGGAAATTATTTTTACAAGAGAGTACAGTAGCCCTTAGATAAACCAAGAAATAAAAGATTCTCCACAAAATCAATCATCTTTTACTCACAGGTGGTCCTGGGGGTCCTGGTTTTCCTGGAGGACCTGTTTTTCCTCGTCTTCCCTTGAAATCAAAGAGAAACAGAAAATAAATGATGTGATCCTACTTTATTTTAAGATGAGGCAATATGAAATGGCAATGTTAAAAACAGTAAACATTAACTAAAAGTGAAAAAACAATTCCAAGTCCACATGACTTTTAAACAAAAATGAAGTCTAAGAGTTATGGGCCCATTTGAATTTATTCTCATGTGTGGTGTAAGAAGGTGATCTAGTTTCATTTTTCTGTGTGTATCTGCCCAATTTTCTCAACTCCATTTATTGAATAATCTGTCTTGAGCCCATTACATGTGTTTGCTTCCTCTGCTGAATATTAATTGACTATGAAGGCTTGGGTTTATTTCTGGGCTCTTTATTCTATTCCATTGATCTATGCAGCTGTTTTTATGCCAGTACCATGCTGTTTTGATTAGTATAACTTTATAGTATAGTTTAATATTAAGTAGCATGATTTCTACAACTTTGCTCTTTTTTTTCTCAGGATCACTGTTGCTATGCAGGGCCTTTTGTGGTTTCATATAAATTTTTGAAACATTTGTTCTAGTTCTGTGAAATGTGTCATTGAGATCTTGATAGGAATTGTGTTGAATCTATAGATTGCTTTGGGTACTATGGACATTTTAATCATGTTAATTCTTCCTATCCAGAAAAAGGTATGTGCTTCCACTTATTTTTCTCTTCTTCAATTTTTTCTTCAGTGTCTTACATTTTTCCAAGTATAGGTCTTTTATATCCTTGGTTAGATTGATTCCTAGGTATTTTATTCTTTTTGAAGTAATCATGAATGGGATTCTTTCCTTAATTTCTCTTTCTGATAGTTCATTATTGGCATATAAAAATGAAACTGATTTATGAATATTAATTTTGTATCCTGCTACTTTGCTGAATTCATTTATCAGATCTAGTAGTTTCTTGGTGGAATCTATGGGGTTCTCTATGTACAGTATCATGTCACCTGTAAATAAAGAGGGTTTTACTTCTTCCTTTCCAATTTGGATGTCTTTATTTCTTCTTCTTGTCTGATTGCCATGCTAGGACTTCTAGTACTATGTTGAATAAGAGAGGAGAAAGGACGTCCCTGTCTTGTCTCCAATCTTAAGGGGAACACTTGTAGTTTTTGCCCATTGCATATGATGCTGGCAGTGGTTTTGCTATGTATATAAACAACAAGTGCTGACGAGAATGTGGAGAAAGGGGAACCCTTTGCATTGTTGATGGGAGTGCAGATTAGTGTAGCCCCTGTGGAAAGCAGTATGGAGACACCTCAAAAAATTAAAAATAGATGATTTTTGACTAAGTGATCCCACTTCTGGTAGTATATCCAAATGAATCTAAAACACTAATTTGAAAGAACATAAGCATCCCTGTGTTCATCGCAGCATTATTTACAATCACCAAGGTATGGAAGCAGCCCAAGTGTCCATCGATAGGTAAGCGAATAAAACAACTATGGGACATTACACAGTGGAATACTACTTGGCTGTAAAAAAGAAGAAAATTTTACCCTTTGCAACAGCATGGATGGACCTGGAGAATATTATGTTAAGTGAAATAAGTCAGTCAGAAAAAAACAAAAACCATGTGATTTAACTCATATGTGGAATCTAATGAACAAACTGAACTAACAAGCAAAATCAAGGCAGACTCATAGATAGAGGGCAGGCTGACAGTTGGAGGGAGAGGTTAGGGAGTGGAGGGATTGAGCAAAAAGGAAAAAGGACTCATGGACATGGACAATGGTGTGGTGATTATGTCAGGCAGTGGGGAAGGGGGATAAATGGTAATGAAAAAATAAAATAAAAATAAAAGTTATGGGCAAAATCTTAACAACCACAATTAGCAAAACAGTGCCTGGAATGAATATCTTAAATGTTATTAGCAGTCCTTGATACTCCAATAAAGTAATATAAAATATTTGAAAGATGGTCTGAGATTGGCATTTTATCTGATGATTCTGTTGTTTCAGATACAATAATACATCTATTTCTCATCTTAAATTGGTGTTTCTCACAGAGTGGTCTGAATTCTAATCTGTAGGAGTTACCCAAGGGTGAGATTGGATGTTAAAAATGCATATTCCTGACTCCATTCTACTCTTGTTGGTTTAGAATCTCTGGGGAAGGGGGTTATGCATCTGCATTTTTAAAACTACTACAGGTAATTCTTATGCTCACTTAAGTTTGAAAAATACTTCCCTAAACTATATCATAATTATATATGCTGTATAAAGCACATTAACTAACTCTTTTCTTCCATTTGGATGATTAAGCTGTTTTATAAGTGAACTTAAATATATACTTGCATATTAAATGTTATTATTGTAACTGAATGTTAACTCTCCCAAGTTTACAACCAGCTAAATTCCAAAGGAAAGTTTTAGAAAAATAAGATCATGCAGACATCTCTAAGTAACTGTGTACATGATACCATTTTTTAAAGAGCAGTTATTTATTATAATTTTTTTTCTAAATTTTTCTCCTTTGTAACAGAAGGAAATAAGCGTGGGTATTGAAAGCACACATTTTGAATGAGAAGCACTTATGAGCATGTTTTCTACATCTGGCCACTCTATTTCATTGTTGATAATAACTTTTTTATTACCATATTGGTAACACATTGGTAGTACACTGGTAGTACATACTGCTTCTATTGAAGAAGTAAAAGTATTGCATTGATCTTTTAAGGCCTTTTTTGGGAGAATTATAAACAAACATGAAAAGGCCTATTTCATTCACTAATTTTCTTGCTCTGAAAGTGTTAGGCAAAATTTGATCTCTGGTTTTCATCTGGGCTGGGAGTGGGATAGCAAGTCCAATGCCAGTGGAGCCGGTGGAGTAAGCTTGGGAGGTGAGTAATCACATACCACAGTGCAACTGGGTGGGAAATGCTCCCTTTGTGGCTGGAGGCAAGTTAAGTACATCCCACCAAGGACTGATAAAAACAGCAGCCATTTAATAAATTATCCGAGCTAACATCTACAAATTTTAACATATTTTATTAAAGCTACAATTAGTGGTGTTTTCATCTACTTCCTGCTTTAAACATCTGAACCACGGATTTTCTTTGGGAGATTGTAAAACTGGAATAAGCATAAAATTTAATATTCTGTAACCAAAAATGTTACACGTACACCATTTTCTAGTCTCGTAGTCTACACATTCTGAAAATCAATATATTGGGTCTTTTAGTAAACGTAAGTCAATTAGCCCCTGAGGATTAATCAATGATAAAAAGTTTACTTAGAAAGTGGAAGCACTGTAATCTAATTCCCAAGAGGACAAAGGAACAAAATCAATAGCATTCAAGTAGGTGATTTTTTTCTTTTAGTTTGAGGTCAGTTAAAAATCAGAGGATCAACGTTTGCGTGCTTTCTGATTTCTTTGAAGGTGACATGTTCATTGATTTGAGTGGAAAGTGGGGAAAATGAGGCTGACTATTGATAGACTTTTATCACAGAGTTAATGTTTAAGACAAACCGAGTGTCAGATGTTGTAACATGGCATTGGCACATCTTAAGATGAGGAGTGAAAAACATCCATGATTCAGTGTGGTGTGGGCAAACATCCAAATTCTTGCATATCACCGCTGATTTGCTTGATTGTTTAGGTCAGCCTTGCCATTGTAAGAGTGCATTGCAGTGTGTGCTGAAAGAGTGCAGGGGGAGTGCTCACTGGGCTTATACATCCTTGCCAAGAGTGTACATGCAGACAGATATTTTTGAGGTTGTTAAATTATTGGAACATATTGTGAATAGGTAACTTTAGCTAACTAATAATTTCAGTTTAAATGTGGCTTCTGGTCTTGAGTTTCTAGTAACACCTAGAGCAGGTTTGAGTAATTTTTTTAAAGATGTGCTTTACCAAGCAACACAGTCACCATTTTCTTAGCCATTCTACCAAATAATTTTAGGAGTGAGGTTTACCTGCAGTCAGTCTCACTGACCTGTAGAACGGACCCTGACAGAATAGAGCAGAAGGTTGAGTGGATGAAAAACGGTGGAAACTCCAGAATGTAAGGGAAGTATTGGGAGTCACAATTTCTATCAGTATGATAGTTCCAGCCCACTCTCAAACATCATCCCTCTCTCCAAGGACCCTGGGAATTAACTCCTTTGTCTTCTTCCCCTGATTCAAGGCTACCAGCTGCACTGAATACAGTCTCATAGTTTCCTATTCCTCCAAAGGATCTTCTCTCTTTTCACTTAAAATCATCAGGGAAAGGCAAAAGCCTACTTAAGGATTAACAGCAGATTTTTGAGAAGGTAAATTTTGTGACTGAAGCCAGGATAATTTGGGGAGGATTTTATTATTAATAATTATGCCAAGACAAAAACTATAGCTCTCATCCCAGGGCTAAATCAGACTCCTCCATTTTTCTCAGGAGAGTGTAATCTGTGACTCTCGGTCCTTTTCTAACAGGGCTCTGAGGAATTCGATGAGGACACCTGGGGCCAGGGGCTGAGGCTGGGGCTGCTGATGGTAGTGCCAGGGAGTACCCTGGAGATGCTCCTGATGGGAGGAATGGTTACTGCATGTTTGTATCCACTTCTGTCTCCTTTATTTCAGTCCGGTCAGTACAGGTATAACTCCAGACCCATTGTAACATGGGACAAAAAGTAGAGCTGGCTGTGGGCGGGGATGGAAATCCTGGCAGATAACAGACAAAAGCTGAGCTCCGTGTGGCCTTCCTGGTGAGGGTTTTTGTTCCCAAGTCGCCATTTGTTCATAAGCAATTTGGAATCTGGCTGAATCTCCAAATGGCTGAATTACTGTTCCAGCGTAATTACAGTTGGGTTAATCCAACCCTTTCCTACAAACTGGAATATAAAGTACAAAACACAGATTTACTATACCAGGTTGCCCTAGAAACCTGGTGCTCAGCATGTTAGTTTCCTGTTTGGTAACAATGTAAAGGTTATTTAGATATTTGTCGAATGCTTTAAGCTCAGTGGTGCTCAAATCTGATCATGTACCAGCATCGTCAGGAGGGCTAGTTAAGACAGAT